GCTTCTCTGACCATCCCACAGGCGTTCTCCTTCCCTCTCAGTGGACCCATATGCGGACATTTTGGTCCAAGTTCGGGAATGGAGTCTATGACAGCAAGACCAGCACGCAGACGGAGGTTCGACATCCGGTTTTGAGGTACATTCTGCGCCTCTTTGGTCATACCATTCTATGCAAGTCTGCACCTAGCAAGACTCGAGTTAGTGAGCTGATTCTCCTCTACTACGGACTTTATGAGATGCTGGATGATTCGATACCTATTGATAGCATGGTTCGCGCTAACTTAGGTGCTGTTTTCGCTGAGCATCTGGTCTCCTTGAAGACCAAGCCATTCACCAGTCCAGGGGAGAAGACTGAGAGTGTTGGCAGCCTGCTGACACCGATTTTCTATCATTTCCAGATCGATGTCACACCTTGCAGTCTGCGCAGTGACAGATCACTTATGGATGACCAGTATCTGCGCCATGTCACTTGGATGAAGATTGGAGTTGTCTGGACTTTCACTACCACTTCTGGAGAGTATGTTGGCATTAAGTTGCCACAGAGAGCCCTCACTACTATTCAGGGAGATCCACGCCAGCTATTCTTCATGCCAGCATAGACTCTTCTGCGCCCCTTGACTCTGCGTCCTGCTAGAGCTGCTACAGCTGGCGCCTCTACTTCTACTGCCGCTGCTGCTGATGCTGGACCTTCTACACGCCAGATTGGTTCTTCTACTGCTTTCAGGCGTCCTCCACGACCACAGACACCCATGGATATGGCTGCTTTTCAGGAGTATGTCATTGACAGCTTTGAGGGACTTTGGGATGCTGTTGCTACACTTAGCAATTGTGGTTGTGTCCGCCCCCATTACACCACTGAGCCTTGCGAGGATGAGGATTGAGGCTTCACTATCTGCTTACTTGTTCCTTTTTCCCTTTTATTTTTCTTTCTCTTGAGTCATTTTTATGTTTTCTTTGAGTCAGTTGTCAGTTTTTTTGATGATGTTTTGTGAGATTGTTGAACCAGGTTATTTTTGCTATGTTTGGATGTTGTTAATTATGTGTTTGAATGCTCAAAAAGTCTAACTTTAGAGTACACATGCAAACACTTCGTTAATTAACATCTGACATAAGAATTGGGCAATACAGGTCGTGGTGACGCTCGTCACCAGATTGGTGACGCTCGTCACCCGACCCCACGCGAGGTAACACTTTTCTGACTTGGTTTTTCGACTTCTCATTCATTTTTCTGACCAACTCTTGGCTTAATAACACTGGGGACAGTGTTGTTTAAGTCTGGGGGAGGTGGTTACTAACGTTGTGTGCTTTGTGTCATGTCTATAGAGTCTTAAAGTTGAGTCAAAAATCTGTTTTATATAGTCAAAATTTTTGAAACGGCAGTTTTTCTTGGAACTAACCATAGGACGTTTTTGCTGATAAGAACCATTGCCACAGTAGTTGATTACAAGTCTCACTAAGTTGAAAGTCATAGGTAGATCAGTCTAGCAATGAAGGTTTAGGTTCTTAGAGAGTCTGAAAAATTTGCTGTTAGCTCCACCTTAATGAACTTTAAACTTCTTGTCTTGGTGATTGATTCTTATTGATCTTGATTCTCTCTTTCAGTACTGACAATAAGGTTAAAATACAGTCTCTCTTTGATCTTCCCTGATGTAGTTTTTAAGAGATTAAGTCCAAAGAATGGTGCATTCATGACCCTGTCTCCTCACAAAGAACAACAGTAGTGACCACATTCAAGAACATGTCTCCTCACAAGGAACACAAGTATTGAGTAGCACCATATCTTAGACTGTAAAAGAAAAAAAAAAGAAGTGAAAAATCGAAAATATCCTAAGGAAAAGATTAAGGGAAGAGAAAATAGGAGGATTGTGTTGAGATCTATTTGTTCAGTTGTTAGGAAGGGAAAAGAATCTGTAAAGTGATTAAGATGATAGAACTTTGATGAGATATCACACTTAGATAAAAATAAGGAGTTAGCAGTAGAAATTTCGGGTTTCTTGAAGGGATTTTGACTGGATTTGAGAGATTTGCTAAGCTTGTGATGATTAGACTGAAATTTGATCTTGTGTCGACTATGTGGTATGTGGATTCGAAAGTTCTAACCAGTGTGGTGTTCCTGATGATTGACTGACTGTTTCTTGTTTTCAAACCTCGACCTTATTCTTTGTCTAATGTTTGCTTGAGGGCAAGCAAAAGCTAAGTCTGGGGGGAGTTGATATATCATGGTTTTTATGGTTTTTAACCATGATATAAGTCCTTTTTATTGAGTCTTTTTGGTCTTTTTAGAGTCCTAGTAGAGTCTTTGCAGGTTATAGCATGTCTGGAGCATAATTGGAGATTTTGGAACCTTTTGGAGCATTTTGGGTTGAAGCCACGAAGTACCAAGCTCGAAGCAGAAAGTATCACATATGGTGATGCTCGTCACCACCCTTGGTGACGCTCGTCACCCATTAAGGAAGGAGCGTGGCTGTTTTATTAAAAGTATGAAGAAGATTTGCAGAATTGGCCCAGAAGTTCTTTTATTTACATGAAGACCCCAGATCGTGTTTAACCTCTATTTATTAGGTTTTTCAGCCATTGTTGGCGATTATCTTAGTTTTTGAGAATACAGCGAGCTTAGAGAGAGATTTATTCAGAGCTTTTTGGGAAGACAAATCCTGTACACTTTTGAGAAGATTTCGAACCCCTTTTATTTCTTTACTCTTTCTCTTAATGCAATATTATTCAGTTATGTTTTGTGATCTCATAATCATGTCTGAGTAATCTGCTAGTTAAGTTAGGGTTTTTCAAAAGTTGATGAAGAGATTGTAGAATCCTATCTGTTATGAATACCTTATGGTTTTTCATCTCTGCTTGCTTTAAAATCGAATTTCTGAGACACATCATCTAGGAATCCGAAAATCTTAGGTTGTTAAATATATGTGAGAGCATTATTCATAACCTGAACTAGTATTTGATGAGCAAAACAACTTAGTGCAAAGAGATTTAGCTTAGGAGTTTTGTAAACAATTGAATCTGATCATTCCTGCATGCTTAGGTTGTTAGGGTTTGCAAAGAGATTTGAAACTCTGTGATTTAGGCATAGATAACTTTTGCAATGAGAATTGATTAGTTATGCATCAGTGATTCATGTTTAAAACAGTTCTTAATCATTCCTGATTTCCTGCGTCACACATTCTTGGATTCAACCTGCGAACTACCCTGACTTAGCGCTTTTAGTCACCTGAACTTAGATCATCTTACAAAATCGTTTGCTTACTTTCATTCATTCATTCGCATTACATACATCATATCTTGCTTAGCTTAATCCGAATCTACATTCGATAGTGTAGTCTGCATTACGCTCTTGGGATTTTGATACCCCTTGTACTACAACTGCTTTTGCTGTGCACTTGCAGTAGTTTTATTTGGGTAAAACATAAGCCCTATTAAGTTGATAACTTCCAATTTATTTTCTTCGTATAGTGTTCTTTAGTTGCTAAATATACTTCGTTTTCGTTCTGATTCGGAAAATTTCGAATTTGATAATTTGAGTTTATATACATAGAATTTTAGTTTGTTTATTGCGACTTAGCATTCTTTACTTTTACACTGTTGTAAAATATGTGAGTGAAGACAACACAGTGATATGTTGTTGCTGCTAAAACAATTTTCACTTTTCAATTCTCTTTCCCTTGGTTATAATGAAGCCTTTGCACCAAAAACTAGCCGAAAGTGGTGCAATAGAATACTATTCTCCAAGACGAATGTGAAATAAATGATGACTTATTCAAATCCTTGAGGACTACAGAGCTGAGAGGTATAGCTTTTTGCCCTCGTTAGCACTTGATTTTGCACCTTAATTAGCTCAATTTCCATTTATACAATATGACTCTTAATGATTTCTGTGAAATTGAATAATCTGATTATTTGTTTTCATGGTAGATAAAATTAATAGGAGTGGTGTCTTATAAATATTGAAAGAACTCATCAAAGGGAAACAAAAACTGTTTTTGGGTTTCAATCTATTTTTGCTAATTGGCTTCCAAATAAACCTTGAGGGTGGCCAAACTTCACCAAAGAAGCCTGATACGAAGTTAGAGGTAGCTATTAGCTTTGTCAACAAGGTCAAGGTAGAGATTTTGATTAATAATATCCTTTTTTTCTCTTTGCTACTTGCATATAACGTACGTATCATTTGGTTTTTTTCCTGCATGCAAGGTTTATGGACGATGATCGGTCATACAATTCATTTTTAGACACCTTGAAATGTATCGAAAGAACAAAATGTCCATTACTGATGTCTATGAAAAGGTTCGTACTTGCGGTATAAATTTTTTCATTGCTTTTGTTGTCCTTCTTGTCTTATTTTGATATGTATTATCTTGTAGGTGGCTATCCTTTTCCATGACCATCATGATTTGCTTGTTGAGTTCACTCATTTTCTCCCTCAGTAGTTTGGACTACTTTTTTTGTTTGGTTTTTTGTAATTCTTATGAGTGAAAGTGAGAAATTGGAGAGGTCGAACCCTCACATAAGGGAGACCGTTTCTCTTAATATTGAACAATAACACAATAGCCGCAAAAAATAGCAAAACACCTAATCCAAATATTTTCGGCTTGGTTTGGTGATCTCTTTTCGGTTAACTTGGTTGAACTCTTTATGTGCGCATCAATATCCACCACCTGGAAGATTATATACAGTTAAAAATTAATATCAATCAGGTAACAAAATTCACAACAAAATGGTCAAAGTATTTTCTTTTTTTATATTCATTTTTGCAAAATTGGGAACTATTAATATATATCAATAAATCTACTAATAATTATATTTTTAGAGTAAGGTGCTGAAATACATATCATGAAAATCAGGTAAGGAAAGGTGCTGGAATACATATCATGAAAATCAGGTAAGAACTTAAATTTTCGAGTTTGTTTACTTGATAATATAGGTTTTGAAGTGTCTTGCGATTCATTTACATTGATGTATTTTCTCTTTTCTGAATAATTAATGAAATTCTAGGCAATTTTCAAATCATGGTCACAACGAGGCTAACTATGATAGATGCACATGAATACATCTGTACTGTGAAGGATACATTTCAGGACAATCGTGAAATGTATGATACATTTCTGATGGTCATGAAGGACTTCAGAACTACTAGGTATACTCTATGTGTTAACGATTTGATTATATATCCTCTTAAGTTTGTTCCATTTCAGTCCACATAATAACTACTCTTATGATTAGTGACAGTCTTGCCATAGCAAAGGTTAAAGACCTCTTCAAGGGACACTGTGAGCTGATTTTGGGTTTCAATAACTTCATGCCGGAAGATTATAAAATAACATTCGAGAGTGACGAACATGAAAAACCTCCAGTAAAATTTGTAGAAGCTATTAATTTTGTAAAGAATGTCAAGGTAAGGACACTCTACCATTGTAGAAAACGGGGATGGACAATTGGATTGACAATTTGATTTGATTTATTTATTTATTCTATCAAGCTTTTGAAATTAAAAACAAATAGCACAATTTTGTATTCTAGTCCTACTATATTGTTTTTTTTTCTTTTTCTTTTTTGCCATTTTGCTCTTAAATATCGTTCATCTGTAGGCAACGTTACAAAACGATCGTGCTTTCGGATCTTTCTTGGAGATAATGCAAATGTTTCGTCAAAACAAGAAGAGTGCTGATGAGGTCTACCATGAGGTAATATATATGTGTGTAAACTTATATTTTTTTCAGCTTTCTCTTATTTAGTTTAATGATTACATACATTAATATATATGCAGGTGTGTGATGGCCTTTTCCGAGACCAACCTGAGTTACGTGTGGAATTTGCTTACTTTCTCCCTCGTCGTGAAATGGGGTGGAAGTGCAATTTGAATAAACTGGGATAATAAGTTATGTATGCAATAAAGCCATGTTGTAACTTGTAATCACTAGTTTGTTGTTGAACTAGTACAACTGGTAACTATCTATGTTTATGCAACTCATTACAGCTAATTTTTTATCTTTTGAACTGCATATTATGGACAACATAAAATTTATTTTTGTTTGTCGACAACTAATTTCTTTTTGGTGCAACAACAACGTACACCTTATTTTCAATTTTCTAATACAATTGTGCTTAACACACAAAGTCCATTACCAAAAAATGGATTCGTCTACAATCTAGTTAAATATATAATAATTATTCGTATGTTAGATAAAAAATCAAAAAAATATAGTTTCAATGTCTAAAAAGTTATTGTATTTGAGTTTTTTCTTTTATTTCATATATAAATGTATTTGCGAATTCTCATGTATGAGTTGATGTGTAATACTGATTAAGTTCTTCATGAATATTGTCCTAAATATCTTGTTTTTTTTAAAATAGTTGGATGCTGTCACAAAAATGTTTAAAATAGTTGAATCTTTCTTAATATATGATATAATGTTTTGGTTCTTTTTTAATATTTGCTAAATTATTCAAACCCGGAAAACTATTTTACAACTTGTGCAACTGTTTTTGATTATATCTAAAATATATTAAAGAAGAAATATTTTTTTTTGCTTAGGTATCATCATCACCTTAATTCTTAGTTTTTTTAATTGGAAGAATTACTTAAAATAATCTAAAAGTTGGATTTTTCTAAATGTATAGACATTTTATTGTATGTTTGGCAAAACTAATCCAAATGGGTAGTGAAATTATAGTTCAGTCATTTATGGCTAAATAAAAAACGTCCGCCACAATTACTGTTGTATCCTTGGGACGTCTACTTATGGAGTCTAATACTGTAGACTGCTAAAGAAGTCTACTGGTATAGACTGCCAAATAAGTATACTCTGTAATTACTTTCAAAATTATAAATATAAAAATTATAAAAAAAATTGTTAAAAAATTATATATATATATATATATATATATATCTAAAACATAGACAATTGGCATCTATATACAATAAAATTTCATGAAAATAAATCAATTTATAAATTTCATAAATATATGGTTCAAAACGGTTAGGGTTTAAAGTTCAAAAAGGTTAGAGTTTGCCCCAAGACTGTCTTCCTAAAGGTATTCTCTCTGAGATTTTGTTTTTGAATTTGGCTCTATTCATAAATTATCCTCCATTTGGCTTCGTTTACCTCTTTATGAGGCTTTGTTTACCTCTGTGTGAGGATTGGTTACATCTCATATGTCTCTCATTTGTGGAGTTTTCAGAAGTGACAGTAGTCCTCAAAAACTTTGTATGTTATTTGCTTTGGCTTAGTATACTAACCCACAGTCAAGTTTCCTCCTTTCTGGAGATGCCGGACCTTTCTTCTTCCTCTTTAGATGGGAAAAGTTATTTTGCCGCATTTGCGATATGTAAGAGTTTTGGTCATGTTGAGGATAAAATCTATGTCCTTCTCCAATGTCCTTTTGCTGGATGTTGTTGGGACCTCATCTCTCGGTCCAAGCTCAGTGAAAACTCACAAGCATCTCTGCAGTTGTTGCCTCAAGAAGCTATTGTTCTCCCTTTGGCACTCAACGATGCTCTCTCCGCAAGTTTTACTTTGTCCCAAGTGATTTTGGACTCGGATGTCCTAGTTATTGCTCCTGTGTTGAGCACGGATCTGTTCGAGATAGCAGGCTCTCTACATGATGTACAAAGCCTTGTTGTACTCTTCTCTTCCATCTATGTTTATGTTTTCTCTTATTTCGGCACTATGTGTTCCAGTTGTTTTAATTTTGGTAATGTTTTCATTTGGATTTTCTCTTTGTATGGACCATCTTCGGATTAGTTGAATGAAAACAAAACCCTTTGACCAAAAAAAAGGGTACAAAAATGTAATTGTTAGGGTAAACACATATTTTATATGAATCATGGTTTATGGTTTGGTTAATGATTTAGGGTCCATATATTTGTTATTTTAACAGTTAATTGTTATTATGGTAACAAAATTAATGTTTGATATAAGTTTTAATCAAAAATATTCGATTTAGGGTTTAAGATTAAGAAGACTTCATTAGAAGACTTTGTGTATAGACTTCAAAAGAAGTCTAAAATTCAAATTAAACATAGCGGGAACCAGATTTAACCAGACTGGATTTGTTGGTAATTGAACAATTTCACTGGCTATGTAGACTTCTTTGGAAGACTTCTTTTGTAGACTTCAAAAGAAGTCTAAAATTCAAATTAAACCTAGCGGGTATTAGATCTTTTATTTTAACTAAATGGGCGCGAACCTGACTTTCAAAGTAGACTTCTCTCAAAAAGACTTATATTACACATGAGACTTCTCCAGTAGACTTCGTTTGTAGATTCCAAAAAGAAATCTGCTTAACCGAAAATTTTTCTGCATATATAAAGAGATTTTAACCTAATTGTGTTAAAAATAAGTCTCTCTCTCTCTCTCTCTCAAACAACGCCTCTCTCTCCTCTCTCTCCTCTTTGGCCATGAATCTCTTCTCCTTCCCCCCCCCCCTCCTCGTCGTCAATCTCATATCCATCCTCTCTATCTCGCCTACCTCCTGTCACTTGCCGGTTATGGCAGTGGTAAGCAAATCTGAGCTTATGTGTTCCTCTTTTTGTTTGGTTTGTGTTCATATTACAAATCTGAGCTTATTATTACAGACATAAAGTTATTGTTTTAGATTTGTGTTTATTTTTGCAATCTGAGATTATTGTTGTAGAAATTTTGTAGATTTTGTTGCAGATCTGAATTTTGTTGCAGATCAGAGTTTTTTGTTGCTGTTGCAGAGCAGAATTTTGTTGTTTTGTTGTAGACCTGAATTTTGTAAATATAATAGATTTTGTTACAAATCTGAATTTTAACGTTTCTCTTTTCTTATTGTTGCAGATCTGAGCTTATTCATATTTCTGGTTTTGTTCTACAGATCTCAACAATGTTCTTGCTTGACTCCGCCAGATTTAAGTGATCTTAAGGTTCAAAACGGTAATTATACGGTACCATTGGTCAGAATCAGACTTCAGTCACAAACTTCAGCTGCATATTTCTTGAGCAGACTTCAGTCGCAAACTTTTCGAGCAAACTAAAGTTTCAGACATCTTTTTCAGACATTTTAGTTTAAGACTGATTTCATATGCCAATTTAAAGATTAAGAATCACTGACCCTTAAATGTTTGTTTGTTTTGAAGGTCTACTTTATATGTAATGTTGGGTTGCATTGAATGATTTGTATCGTATTCCTAAATTATGTGTCTTTATGTATTCTGCAAAATAGACTTCACTGTCAGACTCTCTCTCTCTCTCTCTCTCTCTCTCTCTCTCTCTCTCTCTCTCTCTCTCTCTCTCTCTCTCTCTCTCTCTCTCTCTCTCTCTCTCTCTCTCTCTCTCTCTCTCTCTCTCTCTCTCTCTCTCTCTCTCTCTCTCTCTCTCTCTCTCTCTCTCTCTCTCTCTCTCTCTCTCTCTCTCTCTCTCTCTAACAATGCCTCTCACTCCTCTCCCTCTTCTTTGGCCATGAATCTCTTCTCCTTCCTCCCTCGTCGTCAATCTCATCTCCATCCTCTCTATCTCGCCTACCTCCTGTCACTTGCCGGTTATGGCAGTGGTAAGCAAATCTGAGCTTTTGTGTTCCTCTTTTTGTTTGGTTTGTGTTCATATTACACTGAGCTTATTATTACAGACATAAGGTTACTGTTGTAGATTGGAGTTTATTTTTACAATCTGAGATTATTGTTGTAGAAATTTTGTAGATTTTGTTGCAGATCTGAATTTTGTTACAGATCATAATTTTTTGTTGCTGTTGCAGAGCAGAATTTTGTTGTTTTGTTGTAGACCTGACTTTTGTAAATATAGTAGATTTTGTTGCAAATCTGAATTTTAACGTTTCTCTTTTCTTATTGTTGCAGATCTGAGCTTATTCATATTTCTGGTTTTGTTCTACAGATCTCAACAATGCTCTTGCTTGTCACCGCCGGATTTAAGTGATTTTAAGGTTCAAAACGGTAATTATATGGTACCATTGATCAGAATCAGACTTCAGTCACAAACTTCAGCCGCATATTTCTTGAGCAGACTTCAGTCGCAAACTTTTCGAGCAAACTTAAGTTTCAGACATCTTTTTCAGACATTTTAGTTTAAGACTGATTTCATATGCCAATTTTAAGATTTATAATCACTGGCCCTTAAATGTTTGTTTGTTTTGAAAGTCTACTTTATATGTAATGTTGGGTTGCATTGAATGATTTGTATAGTATTCCTAAATTATGTGTCTTTATGTATTCTGCAAAATAGACTTCACTGTGAGACTTCATATGCTGACTTTGTATGCAGACTTCTTAACCCATATGTAAGAATAGTAGAGGACTTTGTATGCAAACTTCTTTGTCAGACTTTATATGAAGACTTCTCAATTAGAATTCTTTAGTAGACTTCACAAGTATACTTATATTACATAACATAGGGTTTACCTTAATAAATTTATATTACATAATAGACTTCTTATATAAACTTTTGAAGTGAACTTCTTACGCAGACCTCTTCCTTGACATCTTACTCAGTCATCACCGTACTTCTTCCTTGATATCTTATAACTTAGTCATCAACATCTTTGAACCCCTAATAAAAGAAGAAATTTAATTAAATTTTAACTATAAGAAACGAACATGTAAAAGTCATACATAAGCAAGATCAATAAATAACACAAAATTTTAAAAATAACATTAGACACATTCTTCTCCCACGAAACGCCAGTCACCATAATTCACCACTCTAAATCTATCACCACTTGGTGATTTACGTAGTCCTTAGAAATCAATGTCTTATAAGTAGACTTCCCCTGTGCTACAAATAAGCTACTATAAATTTTATTTGTTACAAATTTTTGATCAAATTTTTTTATAAAATAATTAAAGTCGCAGACTCCAAACAAAGTCTACTAAGTAGAATTCACC